TTGCATGACAAAATCAAACACAAAAGCACTAGAAGAAACAGAGTTAGAAGTACTTTACAGCATGTATATCATAAGGAAAAAAAGACTGTTATAAACTATATAACTTCCAATGATCATCCCAGGCCCGTGGCAACTGTTTGAACAGAAGGGGGGGGGGGCAACTTCCAAATTAATCTGACGAGCAAAAAAAAAAAAAGTAATTAACCGTCCAAATCCTGGAATTTGCTAGTGCTCGACCTTACTGCAACCAAAAGTTGAGGGCGGGGAGGGGGGACCAGCACATGAAGGAAAATTTACCATAGCAAAATACTACACTCAGAAAAAAGGGGTAGCATCCCAGTGGTTAGTTTGTCTTTGTTTACAATGGTGTTTCAGTACGTTCCTTATTCTTAGGAATCTCTTGAATTATCAGTCGATTAAAAAATTTCAAAAGTAAAAATTTTATTTCCTTGAACCATTACAATCTAGTCTTTGCAATTCTGGCATGAAATATATACTTAAACAAAGCCGCGTTTATGGTTCTTTTGATGATATCTATGCAACAATTCGGTTAATAAGACCTGATACATCTCTGACTTATTTTTGACCTTGTCTATTATCTATGACCGACAGGCACTCTCTAAGTGCCAGAAAATCGGAGAAAGAGAGAAAAGTTCAATATTCAAAGTGAATAAATATACGTGTATAAATACTGGAAAGATGGGGGAGTATGGCTTCATGTATATATGATGACCTTTATGGACCTATTTCATATTTATTTGGAAAAATTGGCCCGTCACACATGTACCATTCACAGGGTCTTGCAAAACCAAGTGCCATTTGTTAATTTTCCGTTTGTTTGTTGTTGTTTTTTCAATTTATTTTTTTTTTTCATTTTTTATTTATTTTTTTTAATCAATTAGAAGGGGAAAACTTCCGATTTACCCAGGGTTAAAACCAACGCTTCTCAGTCAAATATCAACGCAAAAATTCTTATATTCTCTGAAAAGAAGAAAACTTCGTAGATATTCCATCCCTAAATTTTCGACATTTTTTTTATATCTTTGCCTGATTAAGCTCTTAACTATTAGGGTTTTCCAAACTCATTATATGTCTTTATCAAACAAAATAACCTTCATGTCAGTAGAACCCTGATATTATCATCATTTCCCACCACCATATCAACAATTATAGAACCATTACATTTCTTAAGGTTCAATTTTCGTAAATTTCATCGGTAACTCTTATCAACAAATTAACATCATCGACGGTTATTGAAATATAGGTGAGGTATTCATAAATAAAAATATTCGCCCACGAAATTACATCCCGACGAAAACAGTGATTTTTTTTTTTTTTACCAATACATGAAGTAGCCACCGTACCTAAAATTATTTTCTTTCCCGTGGACAGTGGACACGGTTTAAATCATTTCATTTGCACAATAGTTCGTGGTTTTATAGTAAAGTGCAGGATGCCGCGAGAAAAGGCGTCTCTTTCATAATTCCTGTTGTTTCAGGCACTTTTCTAAACAACCCTTTTAAAATTCTGAAGTTTAATTCCCAATCAAAATAGGTATTGATGGGGCATGAACTCATCTTATTAATCCTAAATTCTATTTACTGCCACATATATCGAGGAAGTTTAAATGAAAGGTGTAAACTTGATTGGGACCATACTGTTAAAACCAGAGAATACATGTATCGGAGTATTTAAAGTTAGGGTGAACGTTCGCGTACACCCATAAGAACCGGTGACATGCCGAAACGGTAGAAAATCAAAAGCCACCATTTATGTTCGATAGAAATATATTAACTTTTTTTAATAAATTTGATCTGTTTACCTAGGATTGACATTTTTAAAGTTTTCAAGTATTATTGATAAAACTTTTAAGATTATTTGAACAATAAATAAACAACTAATTTAAAATCTGAATGATGCCACGACGGACATAGTCATCTAAAGAAACTGACAGGTGCCTGAACTCTCTGTTTTGTAATTAAGGTACAAGAAAGTCAACAGTATACAGGTTTTAAAATTAAAGAAACATACAAAAAAAATGACAAAGCATTTAGGACCAAAGCACACAATATGTCTCTGATTTTTTTTAGAACAGAAACGTGTTACTGTTGCATGAAACTGTGGAAAATTGATGCTAACTCAGTAGAGTCCCAGAAGGAAATCTATCGATTCAATGTAGCAAGAGGAGATAGGAAGATCATGTCTACATCAGCTTCATCCGCCATGTTAGGTAAATCTTCAAATGCAGCACTGTTTTATTCAGAAACCATCTTAATCCTTCAAAAAAGCAAACAAGGTCCAGATACCCTCTTTAGATATCAGAAAATTAAAAACTTGGAGGGGATATACATGTATCTATATTATTTTAGTGGTCATGAAAATAACTTCATAGTAATGGCTTCTCCCTTCTGCCCCTGTTATCGGACACCAAGTTCTATTTTCATGGCTTCAGTTTCAGACCTATTTTAATTCAATCTTTAGTCTGCGAAGAAAATGCATCACTAGCTCAAAATCTTGAAAAATTGGATTAAATTACTGGACGGGCTAAGTGTCCATTTCCTAATTAGGTAATGTGCATCGAAGCCAATTTAGGCAAGCGATCTAAATTTATGGACGACAGGAAGCACGGTGAATGAATATCCATCCATCTTGTGTCACCAGATACAGTAATCAATGAAATGGGTGAACGAATAAAACAATTCTGAGACAGAATATCGTCGTAACCCTAAGATTATATATTATTTAATTAAACAAGAGAAAAGGGAAATTTCTGTCTGAGAGTATCAAACTGAACAAATTAGGCTGTAACGTACTTCGTAATACAAACGATAAGCAGCTTGAGAAAAGCGTTTTTAAAAGCAACATATGTCCCATGTTGCCATGCGTAGGGAAGGAAATGGGCTATTTTTGGCAGATTTGGCTTCATTGTCAACATTTTGTTCAATGCTTAAATAACCCCCAAAATTGGTCGATATACGAAACTGTTCACTGACTGAGGCCTCAGAGAAGAATTGGCTTTCTAATGACTGCTATCCGTGATATACAGCGATCAATAGCTTGTATTGTTCTTTCCAGTGACAAGAATGGTAACTCGAACACTGTCTGCAGCATCAACAATTTACAATGCAGGCAACCCCAAATACTCAACCAAAAAGAAAATAAGCGTTCAACACCATCTCATACTTTCCCTCAAACTTTTGACTTATCTGTCTTTGCTAATTTCTTACATATGAAAAATGAGGCCCTTCTTCAATCAAATTATCTAACAATATTTACATTTCCAATGTCTTTCTCCGAGATAAAATTACAAATTGTAAAAATACTTTATTTCTACATAAATCTACTGGTTCATCGATAGGCGCGGTTAAAAAAAAAATCACGTGCGGGGCGGGACAAACAGAGGCAGAAGCGGGGCTATTAGCACGGGAATTTGAAGAATCAGGAGCATGTAAATATAAGGAATAACTGTCAGATTTTTTGGATTCATGACGATGATCAATCGATTGGCTTGCGTGATAATTTTATGCATAAACGCCTTCGGCGTTTATGCAAATTATCACGCAAGCCACTCGATTGATCACATCATGAATCCAAAAAATTAGACAGTTATTCCTTAAATAAAACATACTAAAACAAACATCTTTATGAGACAAAACCTTCTCTCATGTTTCTTCAATTTTCATTGCTTCAATGTCACAGTGAAAAACTAAAAGTTTGATGACTTGACGTGTAATAAACTTTTGTTGCCTTCTTGTGAGTGTGTGTGTCTTATATTCTATAGGAAATTCCCAAAACGGACTGAACTCCGAAAACCGAGTATTTGGCTTCATCTTGCATTGCGGCAAAAAGTGTTCATGGTATATCCGGTCGACACAAACAATGAACTGTGTTCGTTTTCTCCAAAATGGTTCTATTTAGTACACTGTAACTTTATTTTTGGTGAATAAAAAATACACTTATTCATTTATTGCTTTCGAACTTTGCATAATCGTGATTTAGATATACGTTTATCTAAAATGGCTCTATTTAGTACATTGTGACATTAACTTTTTTGTTGAATAAAAAATATACTTATAATATTCATTTAATGCTTCCGACCTTTGCATAATCGAGATTTTGACATACAACTTCGCATTCAACACTTTGGGTAAGAATTATTTTCTAAATTAATTTATTGTCACCTTGATTTTAATATTATGTCATTACTGCGATAAAGTTTACTTTATTTGTCTTCTTGACACCCAGATTGTATTTCATTTTTAAAAAAAGAAAATGCGCTTTTTTAATCTCGAAGCAGAGATATTAAGAGGCTTATTTTTAGAAAACCTTTTATGAAGAATTTTTTTTTATCGAGTGACTTTTTTTTTTTTACATTTTCAAACATTAGATAATAATGAAAATTTGTTTATATGGTTATAAATGCATTTATTCGTATATGTGCAAAAAAATTGGTAAATAACGATGATGATAACTAACGCTTTTAATTTATGTGTTGTATACAATTAAAACTCCGAAATGCTAATTCACTTGTAAAATTCAGCCACGTTTTAAACAAATATAACATATATTGTTCCATTTTCCATATTTAAAAAAAATTAATTGCGCTTATTTACTTCTAATAAGTATTATTTTGACAATTATTAATCGCACGTTAAACTTCAACTTTAAAAGTAAATAACTCTTTTGACAAATAGAATCTAAAATCGGACAAATAGATCTAAAATGTCTTTCAAGGACTTTTATGTAGAATTTCAGCTGCAGAGTACTGACATGCCAGACTTTCCACCACTTTTCACAAACTATTTTCTGAAACCTATGATTTTTGCCGAAAATCGACATTATTTGATTTTGCGCATGCGTGGACACTATTTTCGGCATTTTTTTCTTAATTTCTTACTTCTGCTGACTCCGTTTCGGGAGTTCATCTAGAATAATAAATACTGAGTATGTGTTTACTTATTGTATATGACTCTTTCATTCTATGTTTATTCAATACTTACTCGGGGTAGTTTCTAACTGTCTTGAGTCTTGTTTGTAATATGGCACAAGTTCGGTAATCTGACGTGTCCACCGCCCGCCGCCGCGTAGGTGGAAGTCGGGGTTTGTTTTCATCCTCCTCGTTTACCTGTTCCAGGTGCGAAAACATGGACGGTGAGGCAGCAGGCGTTGCTATGGAGGCGCGGCGGCGCTGGGACAGGTGGCGACTTCCGGTGGCTCCAATCATGTTCTGAGCCTTGTAGCGAAGCCTAAAGTTTGCTGCAAAATAATAATAATACATTAATTTCATTAAATCTGGTTAAACTTTAGGCAAAATGAGAACACTGTTTAATTTCGAGTTTTAAGTATTTTATCACACCTGAGTGTGATATCTGTTTTAAAACATCTGAATAAATTCAATCAATGTTGTTTTATACACGCATTATTTCATTTTGTAATTTTTATGCATGCATTTAGAGTTTATATTCAAATACCATCAGTGTATTGCTAAGGAACTTTGAAAATTGTCTTATCGCGTTTCTTCGTGTATTTATGCACTGTGATGCATAGATGCTTTGCTTCTTTGTTCAAATAAACAATATTCACTGGCCTTAAAGTACGGTGTTGGTGTCACATTTGGTAACGTTATAAATGACGTTTAACGTCAAGTAAACGGGACGTAAAAATTACTCATATCAATCAGCGACTTAGTAAAAATTTCATACGGTCGTAAACGAGTGACTGGATAATTAATGTTACCGGTTCACTTTCTCAATTTCTACTTCAAACAATTTTAAAAAGATTTAGAAGAAAAAATACCCAAGAGAAAATGCCACATACAAAAGGGCATTTTATACCCATTTCTTATATAGCTAATCAGATTGAAGCTACTGAGTTTTTACCACGATGCTTAAAGTATATGCGTCTCTCTTGCTTGGTCATGTTTTTCAGTTTCTTGGTTTTCTTTCGTTTAGGTGGTTGTCGTTGTTTGAAAGGATCGTGGTGATGGTGGTGTTCATCATGGTGAGATTTAGGGCTGGAAAAACTCATTTCTGCATCATTATTTAAAAGCGTACTTAGTCTGTATGTCAGTTTCTTAGACTGAATTCGTTTAAAAATATTTAGCCAAGATATCTTTCTTGCCCCATGGGGTTGTGACGGGTTCAGCTTTCTTGCAAGTCCAGGTTCTGTTTTTAGATAACTCTTTCCGTTCATTTCTAAATCATCACTACGTCTTCTGCCTTGTTGGGAGCTGACAGGAGTTGGCGCAGACGATTCTGTGGAAATATCGTCTGCACATTCCCTGAGCCATTGCTCGGCCTTTCGTTTAGAGGATTCCCTCTCTTCACTGTCAATATACAATGTGACGTCATTCTCTTCTAGTATTTCATCGTCATCGCTATGACTTTCATCGTAACCTAAATTTGGGAACCCTTTGCTGGCTAATACGGATTTGTCTTGGTCTGTTATATTCTCAGCAGACGATTTCGACAGAAATGATGTCTTCGATAAATACTCTCCTTCCCTTTTGCGCATCTTTTGTTTTTCCATATCATGGAGTTTCTTCAAAAATACAGACCGCGATCCGCTTTTCTGTGCCATTTTGTTACTTGTTGCGAAACGCCCTGTACAAAGTAGTAAAATTCCAGTGAAGATGAAATACAAACACTTCCTTTTGAATTATATCACAAGATCTGCTGTTACGCTGTACTGGATACACATTGCACCTAGCTGTAAATCCAGGTGGTACCGAAGATGTACTTCATTTCCCGTAGTTTTGACCTGGTAGTTTTATCGCCAAAAGAAAATAAATGTCCATTTTCTCCCATAATCGTGTTCTATTATAATGACAACATTCCCGCGGTCTTTAAAAACTCAAATACTCTTTTGAATTGAGGGACAATGCAGAATTTTTTAAAGGACAGTTTGTTATTGAATACCATTAATCTCTCACGAGTTAGCTCTTTTAAATAGACAACATACAATACACACAAAGTAACAAGTATTTAAATCACAGTCAAAACCTGCTCGGAACACTTTCCAATTTTTTAAAGTACCAGTGTAATTCAATTTTCTGTTTGCAAACAAAGGAAAGCACATGTATCTATTCATTATATCATTTAATCAACTTTTATTGACCCTCCGTAAGGTACATGTATATATTTCCAAAATCTCATTTCGCAATGAGAAATTGCCGTCGTAGTTTAAAATCATCAGGGCATACCAAAAAAAAAAAAATGCTCTCAAACATGCACAGGTGGGATTTAATTTCTCTCGTTCGTTTTGAAATTCCGTTTTTTTTTTCAAATAATACTGAAGCATCTGACTGTTACAATGTATTTGAAATTCTTCTAAAGAAATCTTTTGAAGTGGAAGAACATGTTTGGATACAGTATATGATATTTTCTCTAAATATCGCATTCGCATTCTGTAGTCCCCTTTCTTTCTTTCCAGAATTGTTGATGAAGTTTAAAAAATGAAGAAGAAAAATTCGTCTTTACTGGTATTATTATTATTATTATTAAGTTTAGACTATTTTTTTCTAAGATTCAAAATTAAGGAGGAATAAACCATCATTTCAGATATACTGAAATAGTGGACTGGGTTCTAACTGACCCCTCACTCAATATACATGTAGCTACCAGACCCTGTTAAACATTCACTCAGAGCTTTCACGCAAATGAAGTTTAGTATTTTATTGAAGACCTGCTACAATTTCACAACGTTATTTCATTTTTGTGCCCCAAAATAATACATGTATTTAAATAGCTAAGCTTTTTAATCTTTAAAAAGATCTAAAGCACGATTCATTCATAGACATGACATTCAAATAAATAACCATCCGTAAATTTTGAGACGGATTAAATGTGATGAATTTGTTTGTTATGGAAATACTCTACAGGATTTACAGGACCTATATTTTTCAACTCCAGCAACAGAAAATAACATGAGTGTAGGATGATACAATTATAGAAAAATGCGTTCGGTCATCATTATTATCATTGAAATACAATGTATTGTATTTTGAATGGCAAACACTTACTTAAAAAAAAATTATTAACTTATTTTTCACTTAACAGCTTCGTAGTTATTTTGTTTGTACTTAATTTCTCTGCTGATAGAAGGATAATATTAAGCTTGTAGAATTTTCATACCAAAGGTGGTAAAATAGTACATTGTATTTGTTTATACATGGTTTATTGTAAGGGTAAATAAATAAATAAATCAATACGAAGCAGTGAATTTCTTAAAATTTAATTAGAGTTATTCCTCTTTGTTCGCTATCTTGCCCTGAAGCTTCAAAGCAGTCAATGATGATTCTTTTTTCATTCTCTCTTTTATTTACTTATCTACATATATTTATTTATTATTTACATGCATTTATTTATATTTATATATATAACATGATTCGCTGCACATACTTGTAAATGCTGAATTCTGCAGTTTGATGAGCAGAAACATATTTAAATGGGATACATGTACATGTACATAAATACAGGTACGCATATTACTCAAACTTGATACATCTGAAAATTAAACATTTAAAATCCATTCCTTAACGACCTTCTTGAAAAAATGTAATTAACTTATGAAGTCAACAAAGTGTATACCAAATATTTCTTTCTGCGACGTACATGTATGTTTAAAAATATTCATGGATTATATTTGGAACGCCTCAGCTGCTTTATGTGGAAAACATTCATTATATGCTGATACTTCAACATTACATGCTGATACTTTAACATTATATGCTGATACTTCAACATTACATGCTGATACTTTAACATTATATGCTGATACTTCAACATTATATGCTGATACTTTAACATTATATGCTGATACTTCAACATTATATGCTGATTCTTTAACATTATATGCTGATACTTTAACATTATATGCTGATACATTAACATTATATGCTGATAGTTTATCATTATATGCTGATAGTTTGACATTATATGCTGATACATTAACATTATATGCTGATAGTTTATCATTATATTCTGATACTTCAACATTATATGCTGATACTCCAACATTATATGCTGCATTATATGCTGATACTTATACACCACGACATGTACAGACTGAATAATGTATCAACAGAAACTTTTGAAGAAAAAAATACTCTCACATATTTGAGAAGAAATCGATTTATTTTCAAATTCCTCTTTGGCATAAATCTTTTATTTCACTGAAATTTCTTTGATTAAAGAAAAGCGAACTGCGATTTATCACGAAAGCTTAATGTTCCTTAGAGCAGAGAGTTCATAGTTTGGGTATCATATACTACGCAATGTTCCATGGTTTTCTCTTTGCAAGGCATGGTGGGAAGTAGTGATTAAGCTGCCACCGTAAGATATAGTCCTAGCCATTCCGGGGTCATTTTGTCGTGGCTGATAGATCTTTTTTGGTTTAAAACATCCATTTAATAGCAATTTAATAACCATATAAAAGTTATACCTCGCACTAGATTGTAAATAAAATGCTAGCGTAATGAGAGGAAATGACACGTTTGTGAAATCGATGATGAATTGACTGAGGCCTCAGAAAGCCAAAACTAACACGCAAAACTGCCATCAAAACAGTAAAAGATAAAACAATTTGATAAAGATAATTGCACATTTCTGAAGATGATGTCTTCTGATTTTATCGTGTATCAAAGAGATGTCGCGCATTCAGATGTGATTTGCTGCTGAGGTGTGAAATTTTGATATTCATCGCAACTAAGCAGTGTTACTATACATTTGATTAAATAACAATTAACACGTATAGTACGTGGTATAAACGACAAAATCGCTTTAAATTCATTGCTTTATGTACTAAACAAGTGACAGTAAATCAAACAGAGATTGGGGAAAAAAACAAATTACACTCGAGATGAACGATCAGTGAACACTATATATGTATAAATTATACTCTGTATGGTCTTTTTTGCCCAGAACTTTTACCTAGACCATAACCTATAAACTTTGTAAGATAGACCAGGTTCAGAATTCCAAAGAAATTTGCCAGCACCAATTTTTCTAACTTAACTTATTATTTGTCCTTTTATGTAACTAAAAAGGTGATTTTTATCACCTTTGAAAATTCAGTTTGATCACCTTTCAAATAATAAAGTTCAAATGGCGTGGTTGAGTACACTCTGTTCTCCCACTGCATGGCATTATAACCAGTAACCACATGGTCTAGTACCGAGTATATTTTATAGGTACGACATTCAAAACTTGTCACACCTGAAGATCCAATCAAAGGTGCCTTCGAAGTACAATAAATTA